GGCTCAGTATAAAATAAACATTTTATATCGTCTCATAGCACGATCCGCATGTAGATCTTTCTTCAGTATGTTTGTCATAAACCTTTTGAAGGAAATATCTCATCTGATAACAAAAAGTTGCGAAATTCAGTTAGACGCAATAAAAATGAATATCACAGACTGTAACAGGAACTGCCTGGTGAAGAGAGTGGAAAGGTCAGCAGAAAAATTGGATTTTCTCTCTAAAAGGAGACCTCGGTCTCCTGTGGTCTCAACTTTCTATCCTAAACCGGAGAAAATCCCAGAAAATGCTGACTTTTGCTTTAAAGAGCCAAAGAAAGTAAAATCTGAGGAGCCGTGTACCAATCGAGCAGCACGCCTCCTTTCATTAAGATTGCCATGTATCCTAGACACACCTTCTGTATTGTGCTCCTCCACTTCCCTATATACCTGACTAGTGTAGGAAGATCCTTGACCACCTTTATAAATGACAAATAAAGCATGGTTTTATTTACTTTCATAGTGTGTTTAGTTGTGTACTGTCACCTGGGGGAAGTGTCAGAAGCAATCATGGGGTACTCTTACTCATGTTTGTGCTGTTGTTGGTCCTTTGGAATAGCATTTCCTGCAGAGAGGGGAGAAGTCAACATCTTTGTAATAAATTGAGAGTGAGTGTTAAAAACAATGAAAGCTTTCCACTGACGCCACTGTATGTGCTGCTAAAACTGCTTTATTGATCTTTGAGTATTTTTTTTCACTATTTTCTCTCTTCATAGTTAACCCCGCTGTTGCTACCTTTCCTCTATACGACCATTATTCAACCAATTAGGATGAAGGATTTTGTAGCCTCAAAAGCAGAGATGATTATTAACTGAAGATGTCAAACAAGCTTTGATTTGTGATCTGTGACACAGTCTTGATACAGAGAATGGCTGACCCCTCAACAACACCAGTCAACTAAACCTGTATTTACAAATGTCGGCCTTAAACTTGTTGGCACATGGACTATGTACTGCTAGAAAACAAGTAAACAGGGATTTTGTCTATGTCACTGTAAAAGTAATTCACACCAAGATAGCTGAATCACTCGACTTTAAGATTACATTTATCCTGTTGATAGGTTCACTGTTCTGATCAGTGAACACTGATTCGTTCTGGGACGAGACTGAAAAAGCGAGATCTTTTTCTTCTCATAAATACATGGTGACATTTTCATTATGTTTTGCTTCGAAGCAGCCAAACTATTAAAACTTTTATAACTTTTATTTTAGGCTTTCTGCAGGCTTTTTCTATGGTCAGATTCATTTTCAGAATCTGACCATTTTCAGAGTAACCTGTCTTTATTTCTTAAGGCACTTAACACTTACTTAATCAAACAGAAACATACTGGCCTTGAATCAAAATAAAATAACCTAACTGGATATCTGTTCTGTGAAAGCGCCATCTTCAATCAATGATCAAAGAATCAAGAATGAAAATGAATTATTTTTGTTTTTATATACAGGTGGTTAAAATCTAACTAATCTAAAATGTCCTTTGGTCCCTAAAGAGTGAAATTGAGACTGAAAAGGGATTCTTGTGCTGCTGGGCTCCTGATATTATTCACAACCATTAACTAAAAATGCATTTTCTGGAGCAATCATGGAGGCATTGATGGCTGCTGGGAACCCAAAGCTGAGCTGCTTTACTGAGGGGACAGCTGCAAGCTTATCTCTGTCACTTAAAAAGTTGGAACCTGGAGGTTTTATTAGTGAAAGCTATTATTCAAGTCATTCAAGCTCTAATAATTGTAAACAATCAGCAAAACTGACTTTTAAATTTAAAATTTAAAATTGTCAAGTGTCCACACAGATTGTTTTAATTAGCTGTCAATATTGTGACTGTATATTTCACTGATCACCGTCAAAGCATAACTATGACACACTTTGGCTCGCATGGCTCAGTTAGTACAGTGAGCAACCAAAGAGTTTGTTGTTTGTTCTTCTGCTACACAAAGAAGACAAAGAAGTTCATTTAAATTGATTATTTATTTTACTGCTTTTTCCCCCCAGCAGAAATAATTCCTTGTGGCACTTTGACTCTCATAGTGGAGAGTCAGTTGTGCTTTGAGGCAACTGTTGTGCGCTGCTGTGGTCCTATATAAATTTAACACAAGTGAAATTGGAGCAAGAAGAGTTTGTCCTATTGATGTATTAACACCTGTTAAGCAATAAAGTTCTATTTGAGAAAGATGTCCGCCACCAAGAGAAAAAACAGCTGACTAGTCAGCCAATGTGTTTTGTTGAAATCATGTCTCACCACTCAGCAGTCTTAGAAATGCCTCTAGCAGTTATTTAGAAATTAATTGCAGTCCCTATTAAAAAGATGATGATGTCTTTGTCACAAAATAAGTTTTTTTTAAAAATATATATTTTTGCATATTAATTATTTTTCTTGTTATACTTGCCAATTGCTACATGACAAACTGATATCCATTTTCAGTTGTATGATGACTGAAAAAGTAAACAATGGACAAGAGAAACACCCTTCAGCCGTGTGATGAGTGCTGACATTGTGCAATTTGTCCACCAGAGGTCACACTGCAACTTTCCTGCTAGCAACACTTTGGAAGCACAAACAACACTCAACTGATCTGAGCAGAATCTGGCAGAGTATAAACAAGTCAATAAATAGCTACACATAACAAATGTATGAGAAATATGATTATGTTTTGTGGATCAAAAAGTAAAAAAAATAGTGACTAATAGATTGTAATAAAAGATTTTTAAATCCCCAAATCTCGCTATCACTATTAGAAATCATATAGTGGTGCGGCACTAACATTAAGTGTTTAATTAATTAAAGTGTTTAATTAATTAAACACTTAATCTAGACTTCCAGCACAACATCTGTAGTTCATCTCACCCGAGCAGATGACAAGTGTCATACAAATTTACATTTTCAATACAGTAAGCTAAGAACAATGATATGCAGAGTTACCATCCTCTCTGCTAATGACTACATTATGCCTACCACCATGCAGTTGAAACTGCCATGTCACCATGTTTCTCCTAAATATTTCTATTAAGGATTCTTTGAGTGCCATTTCTTGGGATGGTACAAAAAAAATCTGTTATGTTTGTTTTTGCACTTGCACAAGCTCAGCAAGATAACTTCATAATGAAATGTGTAGGAGAACACCAACAAAGATTTCTCACCATCTCTCAACCATCCAGCCAATCACCTAAAAGATATATCATTAATCAGATCAGGTTTTAATCCAGTGTCATGGTTTCCAAAAAGCTGCACATACATAACAGCCATAATGGTAAAGATGGCTGCCACCAAGAGAAATCTTTCTGGAACCACGTCTCATCACCCAGCAGTCGTCTTAGAAATGCCTCTGGCAGTTAGTTTAAGAGTCGTGCTGTAGCCCTTGTGTAAATGGCAAGAGAGAGCTGCAACTTTTGTTTTTTCATTTTTCAAATCTATAAAATTGTTGAGGGGTAATCAAACTGGCATCAGATCAGCACAAAGCTGTACTCAATTCTTTTAGATAGTGAACCTTTCAGACTGGCAAAATATATCAGATGATTCAGAGCAGTGACATTCTCCCCAACAATAAGAACTCGAATCAGTGCTTTCTGTCATTGACACATCAGCACCACCTCTCTCCTAACTATTTTCTACCTCTTCCAGCCCAAAGTATCACATGTGCGTGTCTGTGTTTTATAGCTAGTCATGTCTCTCCTGTCCACCAACACAATTACTTTGTCTCCTTGCTCTGCACACCCATTCTCAGTAACCTCCTCTGCTGAGAAGACCTTGCCCTTACAGCTGCTCTTCATTAGTTTGTCCATTTCACATCGTGTATATACTCAACATTATTTCTTTGTTACTGTTACTCTACAAATTCTGTAAGTTGTATTTGAATTCTAGATGTCCTTGTATACCTCATCTTTTCATCTGTCTGTATGACCAAACTGCTATTTTTCCCAATTTAAATGAGTTGAAATTATTCCTGGGTGTCACATTTCCACCCTACTAACCAGATATTGCTGGCTTTCTAACCTAACCCACCACCACAGTAATTTCTGGCTACTCCAGATTTTAAACTGCCCCCATTTAAATTCAGCTGTTCACTGGAAGGGGGAAAGAGTGACTTAAATCACACAAGTAATTACATGGCTAATGAGGCTGGGACCATTTGTAGTGGAATAATTTTAACCTCACACATTATTCATGCAGCGAAGAAGCTGGACAAGTGACAGGCATAATAAAGATATGAGTGAAGAAGTCTATTACTCAAGTTCTTATTATTTATTAAATATTTCATCGCAATCCTCAAAACTGTGTTGTTTCAGAGTACTGAAGACAGTCATACAGGTTACTGAACAGGGGCAATCTGTTTTAGTAATTAAAGAATACGATTACATTTATTCCAATAAAGCAGTCCTGCATAAGTGAAATAAAACACAGCATGTCATGATGTGATAAAAAGAAAAGAAAAAACACATGTTGCAATTGAATCTAATCTTCAATTCAATGGTCTATTGCACCTCTGCTCAATTTAAGAGAGAACAGTGAGTGCTTTTCTCTGAGTGGTGCTCAAGCTATTAACGTCCCCAAATAGGAATGAAGGTAGAGTGAAGGACCTTGGAAAGTAAAACCCTTCAGGAGGCAAAGAAAAACACACCTGTTGCTATGACAACCACTGAAAAGAATTCAGGGGGGCAGCTGGCTGGCTTCAAAGCTGCATTACTTTGACTCTTGTGCCATCGTACGGTTATTATTCACATTAAACATAACTGATGTACGACAGTCCAAACTCAAAGACTGGCTTGCTCCCTTTTAAAAGGATTTTAAACAATTCAGCTTCATTTACAAAATGTCAAAGTCTAATAATGGTTGACTTTGACATTTAATAAAACATTATATTATATTATTATATGAGGTTTAAGGTAAAGTCCTTACAGAATTACAATAGAAACCAATGGTGCAAGAATACCCTAAGGGGAAGCCATCTGCTGACAGTGGATAAAATGAAGGGCTACACAAAGGCCCAAAATAAGTTAGACAAAGACTACTTTGAACCATTACTCATGCAAAGCTACTCTGACAAGAATAAAATCATCGAGTTGGAAGTTATTGGCCAGCACGGTGGAGAGAAAGTTAGGTGTGGCTGTCTCACAGCAATAAGGTCAAGAATTCAACTCCACCATCTGGCCGGGGCCTTTCTGTGTTTGCATGTTCTCCCCAACTTCCTCCCACAGTCCATAGACATACAATTCCTGGCATTAAGTTAATTGGTGACTCTAAATTGCCCATAGGTATGAATAAGAGGACGAAAGGCTGTCTGTCTCTATGTGAGAGCTCTGCGATAGACTGGCAACCGTCCAGGGTGTACCCCGCCTCTCGCCATATGACAGCTGGTGATAGGCTCCTGCGACCCTGATGAAGGTGAGCAGAGAGAATGATTGGATGCATAGAAATTATCGAGTTGAAATTTGCATAGTAGGTCTCCTGTGAATGTCTGGACATTTTTGTTTTGCAACAGTTTTGCTTTCTGTTTGCTTTTATTAAGAACTATTGAATGAATAGATCACATAAAAAGAGTATGAGTGAGAGTCTGAGAACTGGGCTTGGCAGCTGCAGAAAGAGCCATTTGAAATAGTACTCTGGTGCCATCTAGTGAATTTTGTCTTAATGTGCATTCCTCAATTTCTGCATATTCTGTGAAGACAAAAAGGGGAAAAAAACAACAAATGCCAGAAAATATTTTGTTACTAGTCTGGGCATTATTATATTTGTAACTTACCATTAAAGTGTGCTGGCCAGGTTTTAAGCGCAGCCAAAAACAAAGATTTGTGTGTGTGTGTGTGTGTGTGTGCGCGCGCGCGCACATTACCTTGACTAGGTACTGTCAAGGTAATGTATTTTGACAGTATGGGTCTTGACAAAGGCCAGGAACCTGCGGTGAGAGAGGAAACTGTGTAGAGTCATCCAATCATCAGTCAGAATACTCATGGCAGAGCTCTGCAGTAGGCCTCCATGTATCTAATCGTGTCTCTTACACACAAACACACATATACGGAAATGTAGAGTACACTCCTCAGTACCCTGCAGAATAATCTTGTGGAAATGATGATGATGATGGTGATGATGATGATGAAATTATGATGTTTTTTTTGATTGTGTACTTATCTAGGAAAACTCTGGCCCCGGGAATGTAGAGAGTTAAAACAACTCAAAAGCTGTTTTAAAGGTTTCTTTAAAAACAAAACTTTTTTAGCGTTAAAAGCAGTTAGTAGTTAGTTATACTTTAATTCTCAAAATATGAAGAAGGACTAGTATGGAAGAGGATTGCGACCACTGGAAAAAAAAAAAGAAGTGGGGACGTCTTTTATTTCAGAATTCTGAGAGAAAAACAAATACATCCCCCCCAGTAGCCCTTCTGTACTACAGACTTCTTCTGTAGTCTAGAGATACTGGACTTGATTTAGATTCTTGACATTTTGCTACTTTGGCAATTCCAGTTTTTCATAGAATTTCATAAATTTCTATTTATCGATAAAAATTGATTTTTCGATCCCTAGCTGCTCGAGGCTGCATGTTCCACTCTGAGCATGATAGTAACCCCAAGCTGCTTTTTGATACATCCATCATTGTAAATGTGTGTGAATGTCAGATAGAAAGCCCTTAACCTTCTCGAGGCAGGCGTTGCAGATTTGCAACAGTTAAAAACTAACAACCTGATTACCCCACATACATATTTTATGAGTTTTTTTTTACTCAGAAGTACCACTGCAGGACTTGGTTGTGCATTAGCAACAAAAAGTTTAATTTGAGCCTGAGAGGGTTAAGCATAGAAAAAAGAAAAGCGCTTGTATGGGTGTGAATGGTTGAATGAGGCATGTTGTGTACAGCGCTTTGAATGCTCAGGTAGAGTAGAAAACTGCCATAATAACCTGTCTATTTACCATTTTTCCAATAAAACATTAGACATAAGAAAGATGTGTTCACTGCAAGCAGCCTAGCTTCTTGATTCTAGTGCCCTGTCAGTTAGTATCTCCTTGATGATCCATACAGTAAATTCCCCATCAAGTAGTGAAGAAGGTTAGGGCCTGTGGATCATGCACCAGGGTATTGCACACCTGCATGATCATTTTACCCCAGGAGGTCAGGGTCAGAATAAGGAGATTCCTGTACTCATTGTATTGCGCAGTAACAGCACAATTAAAGGGTCTAAACATGGACCAATCTCTGCCAACAGCATATACTGACATCATATTGTAATCATTTTAGCCTGCGAGTCATTGAATATAGGCCATTCCTCAAATGTCTGCATGTCTTCCCCCCCACTCCTGCTCAACTACGTGTGTGTGTTGTGTGTTTTTGACGGTAGGTCAGGAGGACTCCACACCCACTCAGGAAGTGTAGTAGTGGAAGTAGGGCGGGGCTTTGAGGAGTGTTGCGTGACAAGACTGAAGAAAACAAGAGTGCAGCCTGGCATCAAACGAAGACACACACACACACGCACTCCAATCCTTCATTCACTAACACACACGCAAATGAACTCACACATGCACACAAGCAGGCTCTTTAGGATTTTATGTCGCTTCAGGTTAGTTTAGCTCTGCCTTTTCTACACATTTAACTGAACTGAGTGCAACCCCCCGCCCAGTTTTATCTACTCTCTTTCACGGGGTCTTTTTTTTTTTTTTTTTTTTTTATGCATGTCACGTTCTATTTATCTGCATTATTTGGTCACACAAAAAACAACTACCAATGAATTATGCTTTTGTTCCAAATTTCAAAGACATAAAAGAAAAAATCTCTATAGGATATATGTAATAAATTGTGTTTTGTTTAAATCAATGATAAAATTGCACTACATATTTAATGAAGATTGATTTTTAGAGTTTTTATCAAAGAAAAATATCAACAGAAAACTAGAAAACATAAAAAACGTTATTTTCAAGGTGTTAAAATTTTATGTAAATTAGACTCTTAAGTAATACTGTAACAGATCAGTCACAGTATTACATGAAATGTTTTCACATGTATGAACTGTTATATGATTTATTAAAAAGCTGCTGTCTTATCACTGAGCATTACATTTTGAAAGTCAGAAATCCTTTTGGATTAAGATGATTATAGGAATATTTTTTTTAAAAAAAAGAGTTTTTCCTTGTTCACACTGTTCTTCGAGAACATTGGGTGGGGTACATCAAAACATGCATCATAAATCCCAAAATGCTCTAAACACTTAGTTTGGTGAGTTCTCTTAAAGATTTATTTTACTTTGCTTGCAAGTGAGAGTGTTTGGGTCAAAGGAGGGATAGGAGCACTGATGCATTTCATCACTCCAATAAACTGAAAGACATTTATCTGAACAAGGCTGTGCTACAATATTTTATTGTCTATTGTAACATATATTTTTGTATTAATATAGTAATTTTGTGATTTAAATTGACATACGTCTTGTTTTATTTTTTATTTTTGCTAAATCAGCACTGTTATTGCATTGTGAACGGAGTGTAAACCTGCCTGTATAACATGTGTTGGTTTAGGTTTTGAGTGGACCTCATCAAATCTGGAACAAAACGGAAAAGACGCGCCACTAAAAAGTCAAAATCTCGCCTGCTATCAGTATACGAGAGAAGGCATTTTAATATCCGACACGTCATAATAATCACGTTATTTAAGCATGGAGAGAATCTGGTAGATTCCGCGATGACCAGACAGGATGCCATAAAAACTTGTGCGTTTGTAGTAAACTGATCATGGAGTGAGTGCGCCTTTGCGTTTGGTCTAAATTCCTTGTGAACGTGGAAGGATCTGGATTTACACTGGACTTTGATAAATACTCTGCGCGACACCATCTCGATTTACTCAGCTCCAGCTAATTGACGACAGGAGAATGGAGAAGGCCTATACATATCGCCTATCGCTGCTTTATTCTCACTCCTCTTCTCATCCAATCGTTTAAGATAAAAGGTCTGATGCTGGGTGATGACAGAGAGATACCGATTCTAAAAGAGATATTCTTGTTATTTATAGATAATAACTCATAAGCTGAAACGTTGCACGCATTTTGCGGGGGCCAACCTGAATGATCAGACTTGAAAACAAACTGAGGGGGAAACTCACATGACTTGCTTTGATGGATTTTGATTTATTATTATGGCGCAAATGTAATGAGATTTGTAACTGGCCATTCTAAAGTACTGCTAATCTCATTTGTAAGAGTAACTATTTGTTAACACAAGGTTATTGTTAATGTTTCGGCGAATATACAACGTGAGAACCTGACAAATAAACCCGTTCAAACGCAGTGAAAGGCCAAACAACTGACCCCGATTAACACCACATGAAATTGAGCCCAACTTTCAAAAACCGAAGAATTTATATAAATCGCAGATTTTCCAAGCATTTAAAAACGAGTGCGGAAACTCTAATCAGGGTTCACATTATCAAAATCCCTATTCACTGTATGAATTTCTTAATTTGTCTACCCAGGCTAAAGTCTGGTGCCACTGATATACTATTTTTACTCGATATTTCACAAAAGCGTGTGATTGAACACTTACAGACTTCTTAACAAGAGGTCTTCTTTAATTTTACCATATGACCAACTTCATTATTTCAAAGTCTGACTCTGTTTCTGTATTGAGCGTTGGGCATGGCTTGGCTTCTTACGCACACGGATCATTTTTTCCATAAGCTTATTACAGGAGGTCAACAAGTCCCCGAGACACGTGTTTTAAACTGTTATAAGAAATTATTGAGAAATAATATTAGACCCCGCATATAGCGGGCATTAGTGGGTTTAACTAGAAAGCCAAAGGACACGAGAGAGTACTTCACAGCTTAGAGAAGACACTTGCAATGAGGTATTATCCGGACTTCATGTTGCCTGACGAATAATATCAAGAAAAATGTGGGACACTAGAAAGTATACTTACTTTGACCTTTTCAATTTTTACACATCTGCGGCTGTGGCTTTTAACTATGAGATATTTTTAACCCACCTGACTCAATTCACTATAACTTTGTCTCAATTATTATTTTTTTGTAGCTTTTCCAGGAAGTCGAGACTTCCAGGCACTTTTTAAAATATATATGTATGTGTATAAGTAAATATCAGACTTATTTTTGAGCACATGGATCGACCGACTGAAAAAGGTCCCAGCTTTTCAGCCCCTTTGTACTCCGCTGATGAGTACGTCCTGACAGGGGTTAACGTACCGTGAAGAGGTTAAACAAACGGACATTCCCGTTAGAAATCCTCCAGACACATAAGGCCTTATAAGTGGATAAATTGGCAGTGGTGGTCTCGGGATTTAGCTGAGGATAGAAACTAAACTTGCCTGATTGACTTTTATGATTGGACATATATAATTATGTGATTTATATTATTTTTGGTTTT